TGAGTGGCAGGTGGCTGAATTTTACGGAGACTTGCCACGGTCTCCAACCCTCCTCCTTTCTCATCCGAGTGTGGGACCGGCAATGGTGGAGTTGGCTGAGCGACCGAGTTTTCCTATTATCCTTTCGTCACACTTCTGTCAACTCCCGGAAAGCTGTTCTTTTAGATAATCCTGAAAATCTGAGATAGGTAGCTGATGGCAGGTTCTGCTCAGTCCAGGCTGGCTTCCAAACAGAGTACTCTTATCATAATCAAATTTTGCTGCTCGTAAATTAGATGGATTCCAGCTGTTTTGATTTAAAACATTTTCCAACGATCTGCAAAATCTTCGAATGCTACGAAATACCGCAGCACATAGTTTCCGTTTTGAAAAACGTGTATGCCGTAGCGGTGTATGCTAATGAAATTGAAAACATCTATTTGGGTGCTTCCACACTGACTTGAAGTTCGTTAGGAGAATAGGTTTTCGCTTTTACTATTTAGCTTTCTCTACTGAAACAGTATTGTCTATAGTAAAGGCGGGAGTCTCGTTATAGATGGGATTCGCAGTTCAATACTACTGGCCAGATATATGTTGCTGACTTTGATTACCCACATGCTATTGTCCCGACGTGTATTAGGAGACGCGGGTATGTTATCCCTGATAGTTTTCTTGTGAAAGCCGACCTCTTCAGTACTTAAAGCGTTAAGGCTTTAAGTATACATACATATATGGCTTAACGATTGAATACTAACTGGACAGATTCATGCATCAGTCATTTCTTTTCAGTTTCTTTAGTGAGTCAAGCAGTGAGGTTGGATCGATTGGAACAGATGCATGCTTTAGCGGACTGGTTCCTCTATTTGTTTAAAACAAATTCAGTTTTGAACTTTTTCTAGTGATCTGCCGAAGGAATAGCAACGAATTTCGGACATTGTTTTCCTCACACTTCGACAAACAGGCGGCTCTTTGCTTGTGCAGTGCATCATCGAAGCACTTTGATCTACCATGCCTCCCGAATACGAAACACTTTAGTAGCAAGAATACGCAAGTGATGATCAGTTTAACTAAAATACTAAGAATGTTATTGATCCCTCACTAGTCTTATTTGTGTAACCAATGGAAAACAGTAAGGAAGGAAAGTTTGTAACTGCTGGAGTGTCGGTATTCCTTACATTTTCATAAATGTACCATTTTGGCGCTCTTCTTTTCATGAAGGTAATGATAGAACGCTGATTTGCACTTCCATTGTGTCAGCCAGGAGGGGTTTTTGTTTCAGAGACAGAGTTGGCAACAGCTGTGGGTCAGGAATCGTGTACAGTCTTTTCTTTCCTTCCCACAGAATGGTAGTTATTTAGCAACCCCAAAAGCAAAAAATCAGTGACCCCTACCGGGCTTCGAATACGGCACTTATCGATTCTCAGACCACTGCTCTACTGACTGAGCAACCCAGGTATGTTGGGTCAAAATAAAGTTACGCGTGTATTAGTCATGTTCGAATTTGTTTTATCGACTGA